CATTCCTCCAGCCTCACATCAGCCCATCCCTTGGCCAGCAGTAAACCTGCTTCCCACCAGCACAGCCTGTGGGAAGGGCCAGCAGGCTGACCCAGGGCCACCCAGAACCTTACCTGACGTTCCCAGTCCAGTGCCAAGCCCAGCCCACTTGGTCCAGCAGGGCCACTGCTGCCACCTGGGGCTGTTTAAATGCAAATTAACTCAAATGAAACTTGTAGCTCCTTACTGAATGGGCCACACTGAAATGTCCAGAGCCACAGTCAGCTGGTGGCTGCCTCTGTGAACAGAGCAGGCAGCACTTCCCACCATTCTAGAGTCTGCCAACCAGCACTGCTTCAGGCTCCCGCCTCCAGGAAGGCTTCCCAGACCTCTGCACTAGCCAGGCCAGCCTGACAGCAGGGACCCCTGCATGTGGGCATGGCCTGGCTACTGCTCCTTCTCAGGTCTTCTCACTGCAGCTTCTCATACCTACAGGTCTAGGTGGAGGGAACTGTGGACTGGTCTCAGGATGCTCCCAAGGAACCCCACTCATTGGCCTGGGTCCAGCTGGGGGCATAGGTTGCTGCTGGATCGCATGTGCATCTCCTCCCTCTGAGGCCATGGGCCCTGGAGCTGTTGGGAGGGGTGGGGATCTGAGAGCTGGAAAATCAGCAGACATGGGGGTCCCAGACCCTGTTTCCCAGCTGCTGCCAGGCCAGGGGTTGTTTCCTGTTATTCTCTCCTCATGGCCTCCTCCCTTCCCAAAGTCAGAAGAAGGAAGCTGCCCCCATTCTGGGCACCCCCCACCCTGAAGCCCTCCACGATCTCCCTGAGCAGCCGGCGAGTTGGCTCCAGCCATGGAAACAGATGAGAATGAGACAAGGCCGTTCTGTCTGATCCTGCTCCAGCCGCTCCCCTGGCCTGGCTCTGCCCCTATAACGACCTGGGTGGGCCCCACACAGCCCGAGGACCCCACCAGACAGTGAAGCAGGGGTGGGGAGGCCTGGGCTCAACCCATCAGCCTGCTCCAGAGCGCAGAAGATGGGGGGTGAGGGTCGATGGCTTTGCACCCCAGTTCAGCTCTGCAGCCTCATGGCCATACAGGCACTGAGAGGATTTTTTTTTTAAGTAGTTAGGTGAGCATTAAGTGCCAAGTTTAGTGGTTGGGTTCCACCTCTGAGAGTTAACAGACTTGGGCATATTAGATACTATGTCATAGGTGGGAGAGGGACACCCCGTTAGGGTATCGGGGCTCAGGCATGAGATCATGGTTATGGTGGTTCAAAACATCAAGAAATTGGTGTTAGAGGTAGGAACGTGTATGACACAGAGGTTGGCTCCCCTAACCTGGGATGGCCAGTGACATCAGTTGGGAGGACATGACAGTAAATCCTAAGTCACCCCCATCGAAAGCTCACAAAACATACAGGACCCCAGTGGTCCATCCAGGCCCCTAAGTTCCTGAGACAAGAGCCTAATGCGTTAGGATCCCCTTCTGTGGTGACTGAGCTTTTAGTTAGGCATCTGCCTTCTAATATGGGTTGCATTGCATCCCCCCAAATTCACATTATGGAGCCCTAATGCCCAGGACCTCAGAACAGGGCTGTATTTGGAGATGGGGTCTTTAAAGAGGTGATTAAGGTCAAATGAGGTCACTGGGGTGGGCCCTAATCCAATACGACTGGTTTCCTTATAAGAAGAGGAGATGAGGACACAGACTCACACAAAGGGAAGACCATGCAAAGGCGCAGGGAGAAGACAGCTGTCTACACACCAAGGAGAGTGGCCTCAGGTGCTGACACCTTGGTCTCGGACTTCCAGTTTCCAGTACTATGAGAAATAGATGTTGTTTGGGCCCCCAGTCTATGGTATTTGTTACACAGGCTGAGCTGACTGAGATACCTCCCAGAATAGAGCCTCCATTTGCAGTTTTCCTCACAACTGGGATGCCCTTTTAACAACCCCTGGCTGATGGGATGTTGATTAGTTGGGGTTCTCCAGAGAAAGAGAACCAACTCGATAGAGATTTATTATAAGGAATTGGCTCACTCAACTATGGGGGCTGAGGAGTCCCAAGGTCTGCCATCTACAAGTTAGAGACTCAGGAGAGTTCTAGCCTGAGTCTGAATCTGAAGACAGGAGACCAGTGTGCTTGCTCAAACTGTCAGGCAGGAGTTCTCTCTTACTCCGCCTTTTTGTTCTACTCAAGCCTTCACCTGATTGGCCAAGGCCCACCCGCACTGGGGAGGGCTATCTGTTTTACTCAGTGTGCAGATTCAGTGTGAATCTCATCCAGAATCACCCTCGTAGACACACTTAGAATCATGCTTGCTCCGGGCACCCCGGGGCCCAGTCAAGCTGACCCATAAATGTAATCATCACTGGCAGTCTGGAGGGAGAATCACTTCTTTGGGAACCTCAGTCTTTGTTCTTAAGGCCATCACCTGATTGGATGAGGGCAACCCACATTAGGGAGGATGGTCTGCTTTATCAAAGTTCACAGATTGTCCATGCTAATCTCATCTAAAAGCACACCTTCACCGCAACATCTAGATTGGTGTTGGACCAACCCACTGAGCACGGAGACTCACAGCTTGACCCACATCTGACTTCCATGTCACAGACACGCAGCAAATAGATTTCTCCAGGAGCCCCTGGGCAGTGTCCTGTTCCCGTTGACCCAGCTGCCTCAAATTGTATCTAAACCAATTAGGAGTGGGGGACTGAGATGATAGAAACTGGACAGGCTAAACAGTATGGGGCAAATTATGGACCGATATCAGAACTGTGGTAAAAGAAGGGAGCAGTGGCTGCAGAGGCCCCAAGATCACGTGCCCCTGTGTGTGCGGGCGGGAGGGGTGCTGAAGGGCTTCACACGTGGCTAGGGGGCCCAGCGGACCAAGGCCAACAGAGACTCTCTATTCCACATGTCCTTAAAATGTGACACTGGCCCATTGAGAGGGATCCTGCAGGCCTGTGACTGCTGTGATGTGAAGTGATATGACTTTAGGGCTGATGATAAGAGTCAGTTGGCCTTTTCTGGGTCCTCTTGGGTCGC